TTTTCTTGTCAAGCTTTGCAATGACTGCAGAGTTTACTGCTGGAGATAATGTTGCTTTCCTCAGCATTGTGTGCCAAACTGCAAACTGCTTATTAAAACAAAACCTCTTTTTCTGAGCAGCATGAGTTGGATAATCACTTATTGCACTCAAGAAAAAACAGGTTTGATGCCCAGAGGTGGTTAGCAATCAAGCATATGCATTAACATTTGGTTTGTAAAAACTGGTTAAAAAAATAAGTGAACTAAAAAGGAATTATGAGAACCAGTGCCTCAGGTTTATCGGTTTTTTTCCTGTTAATATATCGTTACTGATAAAATATTCCAAACTACTCTAATGTGCCTCTAAGAGAGAAATTAGCAAAGAAAGACAGGAGTGAAATATAATTCAACTAAACCAAATCAGATACCTTCTCTTTGAAAAACGTTTTTTAAAAGAAACAACTGGATCACATCTTTTCATTCCAGGTACAGGTGGCAACTTGCTTTTCAGAGAAGGAGGGAAAAAAAAGTAAACTTAAAACCTAGTCAACTGTGTCAGAGATACTGCTGAAGCACAAATCTATTATTACCATCCAAAGAAACAGCTTGGCATAACTAAGCCGACCAATACTCCTGAAAAACCCAGTTCAATTTTCTCCGCTTAAAACAGATTGACAACCCTTTTACTTGGTTGAATAACAGGAAAGTCTGAGACACAAATGAGCAAGCTCTGCCATGTCAAGAAAACACTGCTGTAAAGCAAGCCATTATTCTTGACTTCAGAATTGCTCCCTTTTTTCTTCTTTCCATTTTCTTAATGATTAGAGATATATTAATATAAAGGTAAGCAGACAGCCTTCTCTCTGCTGTGTTGGCACTGCTGATTTCCTTCTAACACTGAGCTATCAGCTGCTCAAGAAAACAGAACATCCAAATAATGGAGATTTCAAGACTATTTTAAGTTGGAGGAGAGTACTCTGAGACTCTCAAAGCCACACACAAAAGAGAATTTTAAGAGGATGACAGTGGCATGCATCACCAGTCTTTAACAATCATATGAACACAATTAAAGCCCGTGCTGTCTTCAAAAAAAGAAGTGATGGCAGCCAAGTTCTGGGATCCAACACGTGCAGCACTTGCAATATCCTCAGGGTGGGAAGTTCCAAAATTCCAAAACCTCCTTTGATTCCACAGAAGTTTGAGTAGCTTTTTTGAGAGTACTTAGGTGACCTGAACCTAAACATTAATGAATTGTTTACTCTGGAAAACAGTCAATCCTGACTGTAATTAGACATAAAAAGTAAGCATTCATATCAGTTATATCTTCAAATCATTTGATCTAAAGGAGGGTTAAATCAAGCCAATCTGCACATCTGTGCTTCCTTTCACATTTGAACAACCTGAGCAATTGCACTAAAGTAGGCCCTAGGAAAAAGCCTCCAAGCCAACTTAGAGTAGGATGATAAATATTCAGCTGTTGTAACTTGGTCAAGTGCAAAATCATGGCAACACTCTTATCAGATTTCCATGTCAAATGAAATTAATGTTGATGAAACAGTCAATTAAATGCATTCATAAAATACCTTTGTATCTATTAATATTTGAAAATATCAATTAATTTCCTTCGCCCACCCATCAAGAAAATTAAACTTCTACGCAGTGATATTATCTGGAAGAGCAGCAAAATAAGAAAAATGCCAAACCATCTCCTACAAACAGCCTAACTCATGGTGCTCATGTTTATTCTTTTCCTTTCTTAGTTTTAAATTTTAACTCTCCTTAGGCCTTTGTCTTTTTTCCTCATATTCTTCCACCACAATCACACCTACAGACCAACTTCCTTCTCCAGGTGTGAATACAGGTTTTTCCCAGAAATAAATGCACTACCTCTCAGACCCAAAATAAAATCTTCAATATGTTTGTGTTCATTCTCCTTCACATCTGCTTACTCTTACAATCTTGTACTTCTTGTCACTCTCTAGTCCTCTCAAGTATTCACATATTGAAATTATCTATAGCTTTCTCCATTTTTCTTATTCCCATTCCCCTCTGTAACTCTCCTTCCAGTCATAGTCATTTCCCCCTCTCTTACCCCAAAAGCCATTGTTTTTACATTTCAACACGAAGACAAGGACTGCAATAAGGAAAAATACTAACTGGCAAACAGTAACTCCAAGTTATCTGTCATAACTCCATAAAAGCTCCATTAAAAAAAGAAAATAAATTTTTCATAAGGTACAAGTACAGGTGACCACACTTTTTCAAAGTGAGCAAGTGTTCCATGTATAAAACAAACTGTTGCATTGCAACATGCCTAAACAACTAACATACATAAAGAAATGCAGTAATGCATTCACTCTTTTTATATTTAACTAATACCATCATATTCAGTGACTACATTTGCAATTGGAGATGATTCAGTTGCTCTGCAAGTTACCTTTCAGAGCACTAGGTGTATGATCTGCTACCCAAAGGTTCCAGAGTGTCCCTTAATTTCCATCATTATCTACTGACATGCCCAAATGATTCTTTGGCTACTTGTTAATAAAAGAATCAGAAGGTGCTAATCTCATTATCGCCTTGTCAGCAGTTCCTGTCACAGCGTTGTTGCCCATTAATCGCCTGCTGCTGCAGTCAATCAGGATCCTGCCTCGCACTCCCCCAACATGTTTATTCTTTTACCTGCAAGGATAGCAGCTCACCAAAGTGTCACAATGCACTCCACTGACTAGCACCATGTTATGGAAACAATTATTTACCTTCCTCTATAGCATCACAGGTATGATAACATAGTTCAAAATAGTTTACCTAGCTGAGGCTCTACATCTTCTACTCCACCTTCCTAATTTATTACTTGGTTTACTTTACAGTCATGCTAACGCAGCCAGGGAAATAATTGCCACCATATGAAAATCCCCAAGAGGATTCCTATGCCCAGGCAGAAAACTGCCACTCACTGCTCTAACTGAAGAGTGCATATTTATTCCTACTACTTCAAACAGTAGGCATAATTTATTCGACAATACACATTGTGAACCTAACTCAAGACTTTATGTATCCCAAAAATACTTTTCTCACTATGTGCTGACAGAAATTTCAGAGACAGATATCCATGATCGTTCAAAACTTCTCTCAGATTGGTGTATTTTAAAAAATCTAATTATTTATCAAACCTTAGGAGTAGGTAGATATATGAAATTCATATTAATGTGGCTAGTATTTCCAATTAATGAAAAGGAAGATAAACAAAGATAAACAGTAAATAGCAAACAAAAAAAAAAAGGCAATGAAAATAAAAAAATGCAGACAAAGTAAGTGGGAGGAAGAATCATGATAGTATGCCAAAGGATAGAAAAACAACCTGTCAAACATATCACTGTCTTACTAGGAATACTTATAAACCACAGTTTTCAAAAACAGCCTAAAATTTAGGTATCTAACATCATTTTAATAGATCAGGACTGGATCAGTGCACCATGTTACAATTAGAATGGAAAACTCAAAATATCCCCTTCTGTGTCCACCCAGTAACAGTTTTTCACTAGAACTGTAACGAATTATTCTTTAAAATTCATGAAACTATCCAAATAGAATCACCAAAGACCTTGTGGCTCCATCTAGCCTCTGTAAGCCTTAGAAAGGGAAAAGTTAATGCTCTGAGATTGAAATTTGCTCTCTACACAAGGAAAATAATTTGGGGTAGAAAATGCCTAAAAGCAGCCCATATTAAAGATTTAAAGAAACAGATCAGTCCAAAAACCATACACTACTCTTCAGATAAACACAGAGCAACAAAAAGGCATAAAACTTACTTGAGATGGGGTTTGAACAAGAGAAGGTGAGCTATCCAATTTCCCAACTGGTTGAGATTCAAAGGTAGCTTTAGCAGCTATGCCCAACATATTAACAAAAACTCATCTGTGTCTTCTGACCACATAATTCCACTTCTACAATCCAAATTTTTCCTTGCACTATGCAACAGACACTACAAAATGCTAGGTCTGTGGTTGAGAGATCAACAGTCTTTAAAACTGCCACCCCAGGAACCATGAAAACACCCCAGCTCTAATAGAGGTGTAAGACATCATCTCTGTAGATGATAGGGATTCAGGTGCCATTCATGCTATTGGCTCTGAAGCCAGCTAAAGAAAATATCAATACCCTTGTAAAGCCTTCTCTACAATATGAGTCAGAGGAAAAGCTCTCAGGAATGTGGGTATCCTAAATAGCTTGTAAATACCTTCACAGTTTACTCCCAACCAGATCAGCATACAAAGATCAACAGAGGCAGAAACAAATCCATTTTGTGTGGATCACAAAATGTCACCTGCCCTTTAATCAGCAAAGCCCTCCAGAATCATAATCTCAGCCAGAAATGGCTTCCATCAATTTTCCCTCTCTATTAGTTTAGACAATTTCAACTAGACAACCAACATAATCTGTTTATACATCAAAAAGCAAAGCATATAGAAAGATTTGGGGGTTTGGGTGTGTTTTTCCCTACCAAAATCTCTTTTAGTCCATTATTTAGGACTAAATAATGTGCAAGGTTATGTACTTTTTCTGTTGAACACCAATGGAATATTTTGTCACAGTCCTAAGGCCTCCACCAAATCTAAATGAAAAACCAACTGAAAGACAGTCTATGTGGCAAAAGGGGAAATCCTTCTCTGTTATTGAGAAAGATGAAACATAGCTGCATCTCAATCCAGACATCCCATGCTTGCCATAATACCACTACATAGCTGAGTGGCACAAGTAAAAGTGAAATTGTTTTGGCTGAGCTGACAGTAATAAGGTTGATATGAATCATAGAAGCATTTAGCATGAACTATATTATAACATTCAGTTTAATCGTGTTAAGTGTAAGGGAAGGAAAAAGTAGAGTAAAAGGAATATACAAGCAATTTACTTGCAGGCATTTTTAACAACTTTATTTAAGCTTGTTTTATCTGCATAAAGAATATCCCAATATGCCTGTTAAGTGAAATGAAAATGGAAAGTGTTTCAAGTAGCATAAAGACATTAAAGAATGCCTTAAAGTGTATGAAAATTTTACATCAGCTCTTATTACAGTTGATTGCTGAACTGACAAGGGAAAAAATGTATCTTGGGTTTCCCTCCACTTGTACATTAATAAGCACTTTTTAAGCACCATTCTGCAAAGAAACTGAAACACTTCAATTCTGAAAGAACAGCTTTGACATTACCTCTCCTAATAATGAATAATATCAAGATATATTTTATTTTGGAGAAAGAAAATACCTCTCCTGATCTTTTTTATAATTCCAATTTATTTTGCAGAAGTAGATCAATGTACACCAGTTTATTTTATGGTAGGCAGCCAAGGATACTGATTGTAATTTTTATGTCTCATGTAGGCAGTGGTAATTCATTAGTTAGGTTAAAAGCAACCTAGAACTCTCCCAGTTTGGATGGTAGTTTCCTTTTTCAATCACTTGCCCAGTGAAAAAGAAGGGTTTTGGCTTAGAATCTTAAGAATCCACATGTGACCAGGTTTTTCAGATGCCACATTTTTCAATGAGGAAAATTTCTGTCTTCATCAGTTCTTTACCTTATGAAACTAGAAATTCAGATGTTTTGTTCAGTACTAAGTGACTAAGGGTATTGAACAGATCCAGAGACTTATCATAACCAGCTGCTGATAGCAAATCAGATGTACTGCATTTGTAGCCTCTCAAATGCACTCTTTAACCAATGTGTTCAAAGAGAATGCAAGCCCTCATGACTAGGTAAAGTTTTTATATAAACTTACATTTTCAGAGTACACAAGAAAGTACCATATTTTAAAAAAATAGACCCAAAAGGACTTCCTCAGCCTGCAACACATCTCCCAGCTCCTCTTTTGCCCTGTTTGATTAGGATTTAGCCTATGCTGACAGATTATCTTTGGAAAGGCCCCTGGCTGTGCCAAAAAGAACAAGTTAAGCAAAGGATTAACCAATACACTCTCACTAATGCAGTCAAACTGTCACTGGGATCAAAGACTTCCACAAGAGACAGAATGTGATTTAGGCAAGTGTCCCTCCATGAATTAATGCAAAATATAGTATAACAGTCACTTTGTGACTGACTGAAAGAATATACTGCTCTGCTTTCACTTCTCAGAAGGAAAAGAAAAAATTTAACAAACCAAAAAAATCAACCTTTGTATTAAATCTAACTGTTTATTCTTTAAGCAAATACTTTCATCTTCTCAGCACTTCTAGGAGACAAATGATTATGTAAGAAGTCCAAATACAGAATTCTTGCAATGGGAAACCATAAAAACAAGAAAATTCAACTCAAACAATGGAACGAAACAGGTCTTCAGAGCTCATTGCTAATTTTTCTTAATAATTTGGCACTGAAATATAGTGCAAGATGAAGTAGCTGTGGGCCCAGTTCTACAGAATTACAGAACAGCCATGATTCAGGAGAGAAGGAGTCCCAGGAACCTCACACAAATTTTGCTCAAAGCATGCCATTTTTATTAGTTGTTGTGTGATGGACATTCATATAAGAATGAAACTGAAAAATTATTTATTCCAAAAATTGCACAAGCTTCCCTAATACAAGAAAAAGGAAACTGCTAACTATACTTTTAACTAGCATGTTAGAGTCAACACTGTTCAAAAACATCAAGGGTAATAAATAATTCCACAGACACAAGGCAACTAATGTTACTAGTGTTCTCACTAAAAATTTATTGATATATATATGGAAAACTCTGATCAATATACTGATCTCAACTATATCTCCTAACAAAGTGATCCATATTAAAAACAGTGATGTTCTGTGTGTACCACTGAAGGGAGTATAAATACTGAGAATTAGTGCCAAACTCTATGAGCCACCATGTAAAAAAAAAAGTACTATCTCAGCATTATATCCTACTTACCCAACCTCTCCAGTTTACATAAAACTGAAGGGAACAATAATGCCTCTTAATCTAATGTCTTCTTCAGCAGCAGATGCAATTTCTTCCCTTTGTGGCAAGAGGTTACTATAAACAGGCTATTTAATTGTGGATTAAAGCAACAACAGAAGATGCATAGCAATTTAGCAAATAGACTGGTACTATGTGTATGAGAACAAAAATACTGAAAAAAGTGTGGAAAGAGAGTACTGTCAGCACCTTTAACAACATTAGGAGGTAGAACTACTTATTACTTATTACACATCCATTTTTTTTGTCTTCTAGGTAATATCTCATTCTGATCTCTGAAAGTGTCTGTACGTAAAACAACACTTTGCCCCCAGAGAACTCGGATTTTTTTAAAAATGTATATACATGACTTCATCTTAATTTAGCACTCCCATTTTCCTTGAGCATTTGAGCTCTGTTATTTGGTAATAGACACACAAAGACACAGTGTAAGTTATCATCATCTTTAGGTTTTCTCCAAACTACTATTATTTAACCTTTGGATGTTCAGATTAACAGGACAGCTATGTTTATTTTGCACAGTTCAGAACATATATTTTACATCTAAAGAGGGTTGTATCCAAAACAAAAAAAAAAAATTTAAAAAAAGGAAAACTCCAAATCAATCTCGGTTTCATAAGTAAATTGTCATCTTAAATTGGTTTTAAACAATGAACGGGCTATAAGTTTTGCATTTCAACATTTGTTAAAACAGTTACTCTTTCCTCATTCCTTATTGTCCTGTAAACTTGTAATCACTATCTAGTCTGCAAAATTGTGAAACTCAGTCCTGATCCGAGAAGAATTTGGGAAGTCCATAACATGGCAACACATACACACAAAACCTCAACAAATAATTTCATTAATTAAAGCTAAGAGCTCACGACAGCTGCTCTCTAGAGAAGAATTTGTCATCAGAATGCTTTAAGGAAAGCATACAGTATTTCATCACTGTGTTTATACTTCTTATGAGATACAGTGTGATTAATGGAGAAAAAATAAATATTAAAAGTCTTACCATGTGCCAAATTAAGAAGAGCACTTGATAAAATAGGCACCACTTCTTGTGAGTAATTTGAAAGAATAACTGTTTTTCATTACAACCTCAGTTCCCAGCAGGTCATACATAAACCAAGCCAGCTGCAGTTCAAACAAAGGTCTGTCCAAAGGATGGGCTCAAGGTACAGATAAATCATTATTGCAAAACCAATGCCAAGCTTCAGTCTCCCTTCTGCTTCTTTCATTTTAATAAATTGGGCTTGACCCCAAAACTCAGTTACTTTAAATACCCTAGCTTATTTTTTGTCGTGTATTTTTCACCTTATTACAAATAAAGATTTATTTGCAACAACCAAAGCAAGCCAAAACTCTAGCAATATCCTCTAAAAGTGTTCACATGATCCCTAAAGTTTATAGAAGCTTATGAGTAAGCTATATGACCCATCAGGTATATGGTGAATGATTCATCTCATTTTAAAGCTGCACACTTGAAGTTATTTCTTGAGAACTACAGCAGTATGTTCACAGATTGAAGTTTTCCATTCATCATTTTCAAGCTGTCCTTTACAGTTTCAAAAACAATGTGAGGTTAACTCAACTCAAAGAAATAAAAAACATACAAAAGAAGAACACTTATATGGCCCAATATTTCCTAGGTGAAAAAATGTTAGGTCTTGCCAGGCCATGCCAAGACCACAGGATTGGATCCTGACATCATGATGACTCTGAGCAAGAACCTCTTCACTGGTACCGGTGGCATTTGTGGGCAGATCACCTGAATTTTTCTGCAGTCTCTCAGAGTTTCAGGAGTTAATGAGCAATAACCACATGACTTCACCTTCCAGTCTTCTCACCTTTGCTAAAGAGTCTGAGTCTACCCTTAGAGTTCTTTATTCCAAAGAATAACTAACCAGTTACTCCACAGAGTAACTAACCAGATGCCATACAGTCACTGTAAGCATTCTACATATGCACACCATCTATTTTTACAGCTAAGAACCTTGCATTCTTACCACTTTTTATTTGCAGTTCAGCCTTTTTTCAGAAACATACCTTAGCTTTCTTAAATATTAGCACACGTTAGTGAAAGTGACAGTCATTGTAGAAGTTCAGTTTTCATAAACAATATTGTGGTTACAATTTCCCATAGTCTTAGCTTACTGTAGTTCTTTTGAAGTTAGTGCCTGGTGAGAAACCTTGTTTAGACAGCTATAGGGTGGAGCTGCCAGGCTTTTAACTGTGCCAGAAAACAGGGACCACCACAGAGTAGCACACAGGAGTCCTTATATCAGAATTAGTAAAATCCTGTCACTAAAAGGAGTGTAAATCCAGGACTGATATATATCACCCAGGACATTACAGCTCCCAATCATAGTTGACAGCAAAAAGTTACATTCTAGAAGAAAAAAAATAATAAAAAAAGAAAAAAAGGTTTAAAAGGGTGTGGGAGGAACAAACACAACACATGAAAGTATCAAAACATAACAGGGACCAAACACGGGGAGGTTTAAAAAACTCAAATAAAATAGGTCTCATTTCAACCTATGCAGAACAAATAATAGTTTTAAGTTCCCCTTTGGGGTCTTGGATTCATCCAAGATATAAATCTGAATACAAGTCAGCACTCACTTTATAAAAATCAGGGAGAGATGAAAAAAATTAAACATAAAACGTGGCATTTTGGGTCTCTTTTAAGAACAAGAAGGAGGAACCTCCCACCCCCCTCCCCCCCACACACATTATTTTCAAAATATTTGAAATCCTATAGAAATTGTGAAACATTACATTGTGGTATTCTAAAGTAATAGCTCTTGTTTATAACCATATAAATTTAGTCCCCTGGCACTACTGGGCTTATATAATAGAAGAGAGTTATTTTAACAGTGCCCTGTTAAAAAAAGAAGCAACTCATTTTCAACTCATTTTCTCCAGTGGGAGGGATGTGTAGCCTCATGTGAGAAAGGGAACATGCCTAAGTTATTACTGTAGGAAAGCAATCTGTCAAAGCCTGGTCGTTTTGGCATGGTGAATACCACTGGTGAGATCAGAGAGTCAGATCCTGCTTGCAATTACTGCTAAAGGACCTTGGATACAGGCAGCCTGCTATCAATTATTCCCCTGGCCTCAGACACTTGGACTTGTCAAGTTCCCAGTGTCTTCTGTTTTGTAACAGTATGAAAAAGGGCTTCCCATGATCGGTTCTTGGAAGTTTCTCACATGTTGTGTCACTCCAAAGTGTCATTAACAATTCAATTAAAATTTCACAGCACATGTCAGCATATTCAGGTTTTTGTCTGCTAAAATAAGGTCCAAGACAGATAAAGCAGATTCTGTCTCAAAATCTTGACTTTAAAAGTTATGCTTTCATATGTAGATTATCAAACATGACACTGCCTGCCACCTCAGTAAAACAGTGTGTTTGATGTCCCTACTCTGCTAATAGTACAAAGAAAAAATTGTTTAAGTAGAAAACCAAACAGCAGCATCATTTGCAAGACGTTACAACTTGCATCATTTGTTTAATTTGGTATAATAGCAATTTTCTGTTTGCTGTTTTTTGGTTTGTTTGGCTTTTAGAAATTCTCACTGGTCTATTTCTGATGTTGATTTTAATTTTAGAAACCCTTAAGTATTAAATTATAAGGTTTTTTCATTAGTTTACTTTCCTGTGTGGGATTTTGTAAAAAGATTAGCTTCAGATGTAAAGTGCAAATGGAAATTAAATTCATCTAAAAGGTATATTACACATGAGTTTTACTAGATATGGTCACAAAAAGAAGACATACCGTTCATTCACACAGTTTATTCATAGTTCAAGGGCCCCTCTGCAATTTTTCTCCAATTATACAATGTAAAAAAATTTAACATCTTAAGGTTTTCAGCAGAATTGGAAAGAAGGTTCAGTCTTAAGCCCTCTAAGGCAGCTTTTTCTCTAAACCATCAATAGGTTTAGTCATGCAAGGAGAAGATTCTTTAAACTTACCAAAGACTTTGTTTAAAGCCCAGGAAAATGTGGACTGTCAGCATCCTTTGTGTTGTTTTGCAGCTTAAAACCCATTCCCCAGTACACTGGTGACCCTCTACCCCAGTTCTCTAGTTTCTTTCTGACATCAAACTCAGGATTATTGTTAGATTTTCTTCTAGGCAAAAAGGAGATTAGAAGCCCAGCTGCAACAGATGACTGACAGGAAAGGGAGCAGAAAAAAAATACACAGACATAAAAAGTTTCACCATCATACTATCAGAATAATTTTCTTCCACACACCAACTAAGAGCATTGATCAACATACCCATGGCTTGAGAAGCAAAATTTCCAAAAAATGTGGGTATCTCCCCTCAGAGTGTCAAGACAGGAGCTGACAGTTGAAGGCAAAAATGATTTGCATGTAAATCCCGATCAAAAGCAAGCTTGCACCCTGAAGTTGTCAAGTTTTGCTACCAGTGTGACACTTAAATGGGCTATAGCAAAACTTGATTTAAACTAAGGAGAAAAAAAACATGGCAACTCAATTACCCCCTTGCAGATCAGATCTGGCAGTTCAGGTCAAACTTTTCACCCTGCCATTTCTCAGTACCTGATGCCTTAAAGAAACAATATGTATTCCTCCTACAACTCTAGATGAAAATACATTTCCCATGGCTCCCTACTGTGCCTTTAAAAGTGAAGGGGGGTGGGAGGCAAGATAGGTTTAGAAATATCTTGTAAAGTTGAATTTTGGTTTAGTTTTTTTAAATTTTTTCCTGATCAAAAAGACTTAAATTATATGGTAGGAAAAATTCTTTTATGCAAATATATTTGCCATAGAGGGATGTCTAGTATATATTGACTTCTAGAAAAATTCATTCACTTTTGAAAAACTCCCTTCCTGTTATACTTTATAAGGCATATTTTATTAAAATAATGTTTGCCTGTAGCATCACAGAACAGAGAACTACTTTGCCCAAAGGATGTGAAAAAAAAACCTCTGAAGTCTGAAATTTCATAAAAATTGAAAAAAATATTTATATGGTGCAGTCAGTTTGTGCAGTAACAAGGACTGCTCTAGTGTTACAGAAATTAAAGCCAAATATTTTCTAGGACTCAATTCTTAGAGCAGTTCCATCCTTCATCTGGTCAAGTCATGCAATGCCTTCAGCTGCAGAAATGTAACAGGTTTCTGTAGCAGCACTCAACAGTTCTAACACCTGCTACTGATTTATTTTGTGTCCCCAGCCCATCCACCTCAGCTATTTACAAAATACCTTTGCTATGTTCATTGCCATTAAAATGAGATATCTGAGATACACTTCACACACTGCTTTACAAGCAAAAAAATACTCCACAGGAGAGAAGCCAGTGGATTGCCTATAGATAACTTAGGTTCTTCAAACATTAGAACTAGAGAAGAATTTAATGAGATCCCATATGTCACAGAAATTTGTTCACTTTACCAGTAAAAATTAGGGTAACTTCAAAGATATGTTCCCTGCACTGTCACACACTGTCCAGAACTAAAGCCTGTATGCACAACCCCCTCAGCCTCTCCATCTCAGCTGTATAGGTGATGTCAGTTACAGCGAAAAGAGAATATAAAATACCAAAATGCCTCCTTTTTTGCTGGCTGGAAAACATTATCAGTATTCATGATCACCTGACAGCTGATGCTCTTTCCTCAAATACTCAGATCTCACTACACCACAATCCAATGCTGTGCCCTGCCTGAGCAAAGGGACAAAACCTGGCCTCCTAATTTAAGAGAAAGGAACATTCTGGGGCAAGTTTTCTTATACTAATCTTTCATTTGTGTGATTATGGCATGTGTACGAATAATAAACTTTAATCTTAGACATTTCATGAGCTAGTTATGCAAAATTTAGCAAATTCCATTGCTTGCACCACCCTGGAGAATGTTCAGAGAAGATGAGTGGACAAAGAAGAACAAGTCTGTTACTTACCACATGCCACTCAGTTTACCACTACCACATTTCTAAACAAACCATATACTTGGATAGCAGTTGGCACAACTGACTCTAATGCTAACACTCATATATTTCTATATCAAGATTAACACCAAATATAAAGTGAGCCAAAAATTGTAGTAAGAGGATTCATCTTAGGACAGCTGTCTTTATTATTTTTATGGCAAGTCACTATAAGAATTAAACACAATATAGTTTTCTGCTTCTACTCAAGAGACAAAAAAAATTCAGAGTTACAGTTATGAACAGACTGTTATTTTTCTATGTTACTATGAACATCTCTGACCATGACACAGTATCAATGAAGGATTTTAAAGCTTCATGTGATTAGGAAACTGGCAAGCATTTACAGCGTTATTGCTTAGATTGTAAAATCTTTGTAGCAAAGATCTTTTTTTGTTCTGAGTTGTACAAAGCACTGTCAAAACAACGTCCTGCTGCAACACTGACAATTTTATACACTCCCAGAGAAAGTGCAGACATTGTTTCAGGGTACTTTGAAATGCTGCCATTTTTATTTCTACAAATCTAACTCAGACTACACCTGAAATTAAAATCAGATCTGTTGTGAATCAAGCTGAAGTATTCAAAAGAATAAATTACCTCATGATTTTGGTCTCAGACTCTAACTTCAGTTACATAATGCCATCTTCATGTGCCTTAGTCTTTATATCTGTAGTTGTAGTAAAACCTTTAAAAACTCATGCTTGCACTCTAAAACAAACCTCAATTAAAGAAGTCTAACTAAGCTACTCTACCCCGTTATCATTGGAGGAAAAAAAAACCCAACAAAACTTCCTTAAAAGAAATCCTAAAAAACAACTTTGGGTGTAATGTTAACCCATTCAGAATGCCTAGAGTGCAAGTAAGTAACTTAAATCTACCTAAACTTTAATATTTCAACAACTACTCTAACTTTCACATCTGAACAACTAGGGGTTTGGGTTTTTAAATCATTTCCACCTTCACAGTCATTTCCACTGCTAGAGAAGAGAGCAGGACAACTCTACCTCACCTTTTTTTAGGAGTTTTAAAACACAGGGACATACATTATTTTTATACATTTTTTGAGCTAAAACTCTCATTCAACAATTTAATTAAAAGTGTGGGGATACACAACTTTTTTATTTCATTAAAAGTCAGAGAAGATCCCTCTTGAACTACTTGTAAAGCAGGCAATAGCAGGTTGGTTGACCCTCCACTGAGGTGGCTTCTGCAACTCATCCAGAAGGCAAAGACCACACTGACACAGGCAATCGGCTTCCTTATGGTAGCTCCAGACTGAGCCAACAGCCCTGCAATTTGCAGGGAGTAAAACAGACCAACTTTTGCTGTAAACTTGCAACAGGGTGATGTCCCTGACTTGCTACCAACTTCACAAAACCAGATGTGAGATCCCAAATTAGCAGGTGATACAGTAGGAAGTAAAGAAGTTGGAAAGGAGCTCATTAATATTCTATCCTATCGAGGAAGAAGAGTGATTTTTCACCATGGCTCACTTCTAGCCTAACAGAGCAGCAGTTCACACCCAGGTCACCTCCTCATCACCAAGGCACAGTTTCCAACTTCCTGGTGGGCAGAAATCATGTACTTCACTGCAATCTAGTTCTGCAGAGTAATGATATGCATTTGGAGACCTCAGCTGTCTGTGAAGTAACATGCAACAAGCAGGTTTTCATGTTTTATATAGTCTGAATTCAGCATAAATCAACTGTAACTTGCTTCCATAAAGATTAAAACCTTTTTCTCACTGAACAGTCACAGCAGATACTACAGTAGTTGCAGATGCCTTTATACTAAACCCCCAAAACAGCACCATTCTACTCTAGGGAGCTCAGTTTTTAGAGGTGTTACATATTTATTTTCAATTTTTTGATATGAAAGTGAGAATCAAATTTCTACAGCTATTATACTATGTTTAATCTGGAGTATGTGGAATAAGGAAGAAGACACTCTATTGTTCAGTTTTCACAGTGCACAAAATAGTAGCAGAGCAGCACTAATCAGTAAAACTTTTCCTGGCTTTAATGACCTGTTCTGATTCCACAGACAAATGCTCCTACTATAAGACAACAGCCCACCTCCACTGAACTCATGACTATCAAAATTTTCATTCAGATTTTGCAAATATACTGTCATAGATGTATAAAATCTGCACACAGCATCATTCCATAATAAATCAGTCTGATAGCCTTATTAATTTCCAGAAAGATAAAAAATATTTTCTGTAAAGTTTAAAACATCAGAAAGGCAAAACTTCTAAAAACCGTGCTAAAATTTTTTCAATAAAAGCACACGCACTTGGATTATGGAGTTGTCTGCTACCACTGATCAATAAACACAGTCTTGCTTCTGCTTCTATTCACCAGACAGAGTTCCAGTGGACCACACTAGTGCACACACACTGCCTGTGGAAAGTCAGCCTTGCCCACTTTTTTTTTGGTTTTTTATGCCTAAAGATGACTTAAGATCTCATAGAGTCTAAGTACATTTTGTTTCTTCAAGGCTCACAGAGCCTAGGTTAGGTTTTCTTAGTATCACCCTTA